TAAGTGACATAATATGCATGTTTAAATATACACCTTGGAACCCATCCTTTAGAACAAGGCTGACAAACCACATGCCCTGTAGGTCAAGTCTCTCTTACATCTTGTTTTTTTACAATCCAGAAGCTAAGAATGTTTTTAAATGTAATTTTAAGTGGTTAAGGATAATAAAAAGCAGACTATTTTTTGACAAGTGAGAATTACATAAAATTCAAATTTAAAGGTCTATAAATAAAGTTTTATTGGAATACAGCCACATTTCTTCATTTACATATGGTCTATGACTGCTTTATGCAGCATACTTTAAGTTGAGTGTTTTTGAAAGACATTTTCTATCTGGTTCTTCAGAGAAAAACTTTGTTAACTTCTGAACTGGAGAGTGGCTCAGAGGTTCTCAGGAATCTATTTCAATGCATTTCTCAGGTGATTCTGTTGCAGGATATTCATGAACCGCACTTTGAAAACTAATGCAACAGAAGACCCATGAATAACCTTTCTCTGTTCACTCCTCATACCCACCCTGTTAGAAAATCTAATTGGTTTTGACTTCAAACAATACCAGTTGGGATTATTGCTTTTTTGCCCATGTCCATTGCTATTCACCTTGTCTGAGTTATCTACTGCAGTCAATAATTGTATCTCATCAGGATTATTGTAATGGCTTTCTAACTAGTATTTGCTTATGCTCTTTCCCCATAGTGTTCATTCTCAACACAACAACTCTCTAAGTGAAATAACCTTCCCTCAGACAGCCACATGGCTTTCACTTTTGTGTCTCTTAGGTCTTCCTGCAACTGTTAACTTCTTTATGATCCATCCATAAACATATTATTGGAAAGTGTAACCATCTTCTGGGACTGCCTATCTCCTTGATCTAACATATTATATCAGAATATTACGTACACTTTACTGTGATGTTTGATAATGGTCACCTTCCCTATATAAGGGCATCACGAGGGCAAGAATTTTAATCAGTTTACATTATCATCAGATTTTAGAAGAGTATCTGGTTCCTAAAATGTTTTAATATTTCTTAAATAAAGATATGATTCCTAGACTCCTATTCTACACTTAGTAGATAGGTAATGGATGGCAATTGGCAAACATTTTCTGTATGCAAAAAATAGTTGCCAGGAGCTTAAAGATAAAAATAATCCATTAAAATGATTAAATATCTACTTATGACACACTGTAAATAAGAAGGAATATGGCTATTACTTTGTATCATTTGTTCATTCAAACTTAGCCAATGATTTAATTACAAAAAATGTTAAAAAAGAAAGTAGAAGGTGAATGCAGATTTGAAAATAGGGGTGAAAATTCAGTTGAAAATGTTGGAAGAGATTCCAGGAAACCACAATCCAGCTGCCTTAAGGAGAAGGTAAATGGTTTGCTATGTGTGTGACTGTTAACAAGTTGAACAACTTGAGGAGACTAACACAGTTCCCAAGAGGTAATGTGAGGTGTGAAAAAGCTTGGTTCAAATTAAAATTTTAGGGAACATGCAATTTATAGCAGAATGTAAAATGAGTTTTAGATATACTTATACTTGCTTCCTCTAAAATATGAGAAAACAGAGACTTAATTTTAATCTTTTCATTCAAAGAATTATCCATCTAATTTTATGCTTATAATTTGTTCATCAAATAGCAAGTCATAGACTCTGAAAATGAAGGACACTTCTTCAGTGTAGCTTTTTAGAATCAAAGACAAAGTAAAATTCCACTTTATGTCTGTTTTTGTATGGTTAAGGGATTCACTTACTAAACATGACTCTACATCCCTTAGTTAAACTGATCATCTATGTAATTGGCTCAGTGAATACTCAGTTATTTTATTTAAATTTTTTTATGAAGTCAAGGAAAGAGAGAGAGAAGAAGAAGAAGAAGAAGAAGAAGAGGAGGAGGAGGAGGAGGAGGAGGAGGAGGAAGGGGAGGAGTTAGATAGGATGGGGAGAGGTGGAGAGAGAATGCATCTATCATAGGGTTTACTCCATAAATGCTCACCATAGCCAAGGCTGGGCCAGCCCAAAGCTTTGAGCATGGAATTCAATTTGGGTTACCCACATGAGCAATAGGTGGGCAAGAACCCAATGGCTTGAGACATCACCTGCTGCCTCTCAAGATACACCAGCAGGAAACTAGAATCAGAATCAGAGTCTGAACTAGAATCCAGAGCATTCTAGTGTGAGACATGGGTGTTCCATTGTGACATTTTAATTACCGTGCCAAGTACTTGCCCCTGAATATTCAATTCAATGTGAAAAACATCATCTCCATATTAAATTTGTGACATTTACAAAAATAATGACTGATAAATGCCAAAAGAGATATGGATTTTAAGTGAATTTGTGTTTTAAACTATAAATACTTTTCAGGGTACCAGTGCTCTGGCATAGCAGGTAAAGCCACTGCCTGTGACATCAGGGCACCAGCTCATGCCTCAGCTGCTCTACTTCCAATTCAGCTCCCCGCTAATGGCATGGGAAAGGCAGGGGATCAAGGTCCAAGTGTTTGGGCCCCTGCAACCCATATGGGAGACCTGTATGAAGTTCCTAGCTTTGGCCTGGCCCAGCACTAATCATTTTGGCCATATGGGGAGTAAACTAGCAAATGGAAGATTGATCTCTCTCTCCCTCTTCGTCTTTCTCTGTAACTCTGACTTTCAAGTCAATCAATCAATAAATCTTTGAAAAAATAGTGATTTTCAGAAAAAAGCAATTCCTCTACATTTGGGGATTTCTTGAAAGTCAATGGTATGAAGAACAAGTTTTATTCAATATGAAATTTTCAACTAGAGTGGGACACCAGAACATGGTGCATCCTGGCTTTGGACAGAAGATTGGGCTTGATCAGGCAAGGTGAATGACTTGTAAGATCCCTGCTAAAATGAATATTAAGCTCTATTATCTCATTTTGGTATTATTTAGTTATTATAATTTCCTCACCTCTCATTTTCTGACTATGGACTATCTTAAATCACCTTATTGACAAGGGATAGGGATACTAGTAACTGTCAAGATGACAGATTGAACTTTCAAACAACAGGCTTAAAATGGTTTTGAGTGAACAACATGAGGTGGTAATAGCAAGACTACTGCTGCAGTACTTTCCATTTTACAAAACACTTGTGGGTCCAATATTTCATTTGCCATTTCCTCAACCTCTGTGACTCAGTTATTATTGTCAAAAGCTCATTCTTTTTTGGAAATAGAATTCAAAGTTTCCTCAAGACACAGCTGGTGAACTCAAGTCTCTGGAATCAGACCTGGATTTTCAGATCCTAGGTCCCTGCACTATGATGATACAATGGTTGACTCTCCCTCCCCACCTCTCTCCCCCACGAAAAGCAGCACTGTTCTAGCAAATGATTGTTGGTTTCCCTTTTTACAGATAAGGTCACCAAGGTAAGTGAGGGATGTGGGAATTCATTCTGGGCATACTTCTAAAATATCTTGCGTTCTTTCATCCATAATGGTGGGCAGTTGTATTGTTATGTGTCTGGTAAGAATGACCTAAAAATCTACCAACAGTCAATAGGGACAGTGGATAATGAGGGGAGGAAATGAAATCCAGGAAATGGTAGAGGCCAGGTTGCTTTCTCTGGTCAGACACTAACAGCCACTACTGTTCCCCTATATCCATCTCTTGGGCCCCAGGAATTGACAGAGGAAAATAATTTGAGGCCATTAGCAGATTTAGTACCACATGTGGGTAAATGCCCATTTTTTTGTATGTTGATGTCACCTTTATTCTTTCCCAATGGGTTTGTGAGAATCTCAGAAATTGCAAGACTATCTTCATCTTGATATTTTGCATATATGGTAAAACTTGCTAGCAGTTGGTGAAATAGTTGTAGGTACTTCATCTTTATTATTGCATTTAACATTTGTAACCCTCCCATAAATTTTACATTATTGGCCTTTCCCCACTCCTGTATTTAATAAGAGGCAAGGAGGCCCTTTAGAGTAAATAATGTACTTTAGGTTATATTCTTAGAGGCAGAAAATGAATTCAAAGAAGGATGGAAGCAAGAAGGAGGGGAGAAGGAAGAAAAGGAAGAAGGGAGGGAGAGGGGGAAGAAGCCAGTCAGTCATAGGCTAATGAGTGCTGCGGAGCCAAAGCTGCGGATGGGTCCTCTGCAGGTCCAGATGGCAGGCACTTAATAATAAAGCCACGGGAGAACTGCAGCAAGTTCTGGTTTTCTGTGACACTCTCCCATTGCAGTGCTTACTAACAGAGCTTTAAAAAACCCCTCCTCTCTCAAACTCTGTAAAGGCAGCATGGAGAGGGATGAAGTATCTTGTCTGAAGATTTAGGTCTGATTCCAGAGACTCGAATTCACTGGCTGGGTCTTGAGGAATCTCTGATTTCTGTTTCCAAACACAGAATCCTGTTAGTAATGTAGCTTACTTTAGTTGAGAGCGTGATAGGTCTGTGTATATATTAATTATGAGCTTTAATGTAGCTTATGCTGAAGACCTGTTGCTTTTGCTTCAGTTTAGCATTTCTTGATTCCCATTTCCTGTTCTATAGTTCATAGAACTCTCTAGATTTGCGCTCCATTTTGCAGGCACAGTGCTGCTGTAGACAAGAATGTCGGGTCTGGAATCAGACATTTTTAGATCATGATCGGCTTCAATCAGTTACTAGCTCAACTTCATTTTGACCTCAGTTTCCTACCTTATGATATCCATATCATAGAAGAATAAAGTAGGATGCAAAGAAAAACATTTTTTTCAATAGCAACAAAAATACTTCACAAATTTAAGGTACTAGTGCCCACTTCATAGGAAAAAAAATCTACCTCATTTCAGTAGATTTTATATTTCTTCTTTTTTGTTTTATTCTTTGGTTCTTCCTACTTTGCTCCCAATTATTTCTCTAAAACCATATATGCGTGAGAGTATCCTATAAACTGCAGTTGAAAGCATACTTTTTCCTTGGCAGTTATTTCCGACACGTATTTCTAATGGATGCCTCTTATTTTTTCTTTACTTATAGAAACCTTCAAAAATGAAAAACATCAAAAAATAGTGAGATGTGACAGGAGGCATTTGGACAGTGAACATAAATGTTGCAATGGAGATGGAAACTCAGCCTTCTAAATGAAAAACAACCATTCCCCAGCGGACTGCAGAAGAAACTCGACTGGCCACTGCAAAGGAGAAAACAACCTTAAAAGTTTTAGCAGATAAAACTCAAAGAGGAATCTATGACATGGAATTCACATATTCTACTCTGCTGTGCCCATATCTGTATGTATCGCTTCATTGTTAGTCAGGACATATTTATTTAATGTGCATCTATTTTTTTGGCTCTTATTTCTACCACCAACAATTAAGTAACTGAAAAACATTTTATATTTCAGAGTAAAATCATTCTACAGTAGGATGAAAGCTCACTGATTATTGTTACTTTTTTATCAATGGTTTTGATATTTTTCTACTGTTATCATCATTCCTGTTCAGGCTAACTTGGAGAAAAATAATTGTATGTGAGAGTGATTTAAAATACCTAGGTTTCTTATCTGAGTCCCTTGTAACTCTGGAAATGAGTTTGCCTTCACAACTGCAGTTTATTTTTGTAAATAAATGTGTTCAAGTCTCAAGAGCCAAAGGTATTTTGAGTCATAGGAGTTTTCCATAACTTCTTCCTTTGCCCCAACAACATAAGATCACAACTTAAATGTCACCAAAGTTGTGATATTATGTCTAATTCTATGTACTATATACTGCATAACCCTTTAGAAGGAGATTTACTGGGTTTGCAAGAAAACCATTTAGTTAATCCTAATATTTGATGCAAAGAAAAAAGGCAATAGAATTGTAAAAAGATACAATAAATTTGCCTGACCAGAAACCAAAGTGATTGTTAATTATACATATCAGAATAAAACTCTAATAGTTGCACAATCTGTAAAAATTACCACAGCAGCTCTCACATTTTGATAATTTGTCTTTCCATGTATTTTTTTCATATTAGAAACTATTTAAAGCAAAGAAAAAGAAAAGTTATCTGGCTAATGTTAGAGAGAAATTTAATGGCGAATCTTGGACTTTGTTCACAGATCATACTATACAAAAACTAATTTATTTAATCTCCCATCTCCTAATTATTTTATATTATGTGAACAAATTAGTCATTTGTTCCAAATGAGGACAACAAATCATGAGAAAACTTATCAACAGAAAAAAAATACAGCTAAGTTTTTTTCATACAATGTTTATATTCTGATCTATTTTATTTTAGTGTTTTTTTTTTCTTTTAAATGACAATGAATCCTGATTTTCAATACCCTAAAATTGTTCAGTGATTTGGTTGTTGTACTACCATTTGTTATCTGTACAATCTGATATTTTATGGATGGTTTCACTTTTATTTATCTTGCTTTCCATTCCCCTAAGAACAATAACTTAAAGTGTCTGTTCCCACACTTGATCATTGATCACAGAGAATTTTGACTACTACCAACCTTGGCAAACTGTATAATAGGTGTTTTAGGATTTATAGTATTTGTTATTTTTCAAAAAATAGTGAATACTTAGTATTTCTTAACTGGTGTATGAAAACAATTGCATTTTTATTTTTGATAAGTCCAAATCTTTGATTAAAATTCAAGGGAGGGCATGTCTTAGGTCTTAAGTCATTAAGAGCTTTCTAATGGAAATCATATGTAAAATTTCTAACTTAAAATAAGTTCTTTTACATAGTGTGCTTCCAGGTGTCTTGATTTTGAAAAGTCTAGTGTGTGTTGTGTTCTGTGTTTATGAAATAAACATCTTCCTAGAGCAATTAAGTTAAAATATTATTTAGATTAAATGATTCTTTATTGCCAAGGATGAATAGTAGTAGTTGTCTTGCATTAATCCAAGAGAAGAGTCCTTCGTGCTCTGCCCAGTCACAATAACCAAATTTCACAATATGCTCAAGTGGTTAGATGGGGGCCGAGAACCAGTCATGTTTCCCTCTTCCTAATTGTATCATAAAAGCAGTTTTGGGTGCCGGCGCTGCAGCTCACTTGGCTAATCCTTTGCCTGTGGCGCCGGCACACCGGGTTCTAGTCCCAGTTGGGGTGCCAGATTCTCTCCCAGTTGCTCCTCTTCCAGTCCAGCTCTCTGCTGTGGCCTGGGAAGGCAGTGGAGGATGGCCCAAGTGCTTGGGCCCTGCACCCGCATGGGAGACCAGGAAGAAGCACCTGGCTCTTGGCTTCGGATTGGCGCAGCGCACCGGCCATAGTGGCCATTTGGGGGGTGAACCAATGGAAAAGGAAGACCTTTTTCTCTGTCTCTCTCACTGTCTAACTCTGCCTGTCCAAAAAAAAAAAAAAAAAAAGCAGTTTTGGGAAGGAGCATGGATGGGAGTGAGAAAGGAGAGAAGAAAATGTATTTTTTTTCAAATGGGCTCACTCAACTCTTAAAACTAGAACATTAATATAAAAACTTTTAGTTTTAAGATCAAAGTCAACATTTGAGATTTTCACATGTTTACCCAAAGGTTTTTGATTAAAGTTACTTTAAAAGGGAATAGAATATGTAACATTTGTGGGAAGTAATAATCAGAATTAGGATCTATATCTCCATAGTCTGGAATACGAAAAATGGAATCTGACAGAATAAAAGTTTTCTTTTGATTCTACCATCAAAATCTTTCCACAGTTTTTCACTTCCTGCTGATTCTGTTTCTGCTACTGTGGTTCCAGCTGCAGTCATCTTGTTTGGGTTACTGCGCTAACCCTGTAACCATTCTGCCCTTTCATTTCCTTGCTACCAGTCTATTGCAGTAGCCCAAGTGACTTCATTGAAATGTGCTATTACTCCACACCAAAATCATTCCCCACTTTGCTCAGAGTAAAAGTAAAATTTATGAAATGATCTGCAAAGTCCTGCATGATCTCTTTATCCCTCTGACCTCTCCTCTCTGCTGCCAGTATTATTTTCTCAAGGCATATAGGACTTCTCATTGTTGCTCATGCAGACCAGGACTGGTCCTGTCCAAGGATCTTCCATTTGCTGTTCGCCCTACCTGGAATGCTTTCTACTCTGCTTTCTATTCAGGTTACTCCCTCACTTCCTTCAGGTTTTATCACCTTGTTCCCTTCCTAGGGTGGTTTGCCCCAACCCTCCTCTCTCAAACTTAATCCTTCCTGGTCATTCCTGCCTCCTTCTTATTTAATTTTCTCTGTAAGAAGTGATTCTATTGAACATACTATCATATATAATTCACATACCTTGTTTATTTTGTCTCTTACACTAGAAAGGAAACCCTGTGAAGGCAGAATTTCAGATTGAGTTTCATACTGTATTCAGCCTCATGGACTAGTGTCAGATACATATTTGGTGCTCAATATGTTTGCTGAATGAATTGATGAAAGTTAAGAATATGAGGTCTGAGGCCAGAATGTATAGGTCTGAATGTTGATTCCTCAGATTACTAGTTCACTTTGAGTGAGTTTCTTGACCTCATATGGTTCACATTCCTTTATGTGTAAAATAAGTATGAAAATAAAAGGTATACAATTTTATGAGTAAATACATATGAAGTACCTAGTACTTTACCTGGCAAGGACTAAGTTCTCATTAACATTATATGCTACTGTTTTATGAAATGCATATCACATATTTCCCTAAATAACACACAAAATATTAAAGAAGGACCATATTCTTGTTGCAGACTGGCATCTTTTCTCCTAGGAGCTTTCTTCCTACTTCCACTATTATATTCCATGAAAAATACCCACCTAATCTTGTTGTCTTAGCTCTAGTCCCCTAGAATCACAGTCTAAGGTAGAAATTCTCATAAACTGGATTATTGACAGTGGTCTTAAGAGAAATCTGTGTGGAAGTGAAAAATGCAGGAGAGGACTGAAGAAGAATCTAGGCAATTAAATGGTTTCATGGACACCTAACTTCATCTTTCCAGCCTGACCCTAAGAGCATCCTGGGGCATGAATTGCACAACTATACTAGCATACTAGCATCCCCACTGAGACTTCAATCTCCTTCTATGTCAATGGACCAGTGGTTTCCAGATGGTGCAGTATGTGATGGGAAAATGAATTCCATGTATGTGTTCCTCTGCTATGCCTCTCTTATAATAGAATGCTTCCTTTGGCCTAGGGTAAAATGGCCAAGAAATTCTGTTCACCCTCAAATGCTGGCACTGGCGAAGGCACTGTGCAAAGGAAATGTATACCTATAACTAGAATATGCATTAATTCCAGTTAGGATAAACCATCGACTTTTCCAAGATGGAAGAGATATAATGAAATAAAATTGTTACCAGATGTAGTAACTACTTGGATTGCCCTCATCTTATATTGTAACGCTTCATAACAGTTCCACCTCCACTTCTGATCCACCTTCCTGCTAATGAACCTGGGAGGCAGCAGATAATAGCCTGCATACTTGGGTTCCTGCCACCCATGTAGGAGATGCAGATAGAGTTCCTGGATCCTGATGTTGGCCTGGCCCAGGCCTAGCTGTTGCAGGTGTTTAGAGAATGAAATAGCAGATGGTAGACATTTCTTTCTCTGTTTTTCTTTCACTCTGTGCCATTTTGCATTTCATATAAATAAATAGATAAATAAATACCTTAAAAAGAAGATGTGGCACCACATGACTAAGTGGTCTCTTTAAAACTGTACCGTATCAGGGAGACCATAGCACTGTTTGTTGCTGAAAAAAAAAAAAAAAACACTGAATAGCAGTAGCTAAATTAGCCTTTGTGAGAAAGAGTTCATTCTGTTGGCCCATGAATTATCTTAACGTCTGACACTCTGGTGTTTCCACTCACGAACCCTTTGTGCAAATATTAAGGTAACTAAGAGTCTGGTTGGTATTGATTGATTCAATCATCCTGTCTAATTAATTGTATAGTGCATCTTGTGCAGTGGACGCTCTGTAAAGGACATGAATTTGTTACAAAAAATTTCACCCTTTTTGCTCACTGTCACAGGTATAGTCACATACTCTTTTGCAGACATTTATAAGCTTCATCTTTTAAATTCATCTCCTTCTAGCATATGGTTAACCAGCTAAATGATTTTCCACTGCATCCACTTTTCAAGGAATTTGCAGACCATTTTTCTATGAATATATAAGGTAGACAACCAAGTATACTGCCTGAAAGCATTTCTACTTGGAGGATTTCCCTTCACCATTGTCTGCTAGACTCACTCCTTGGAGAGAGTAGTGCACACTAACCACTTTTGGAACTCTGTTAATATTCAAAGTTGATTCATCTAGATTTCAATCCAGTTTATTTTATAAACTGTTTCTAGAGAACTATCTGATGGACTCTGTAAGTGTTTGATGAGTAAAAATTGTGGACAAAACAGTGGTAAATGACTTCAGAATCTGGACCCCTTGTTTACACACTGAATTGTGTCTTCTGGATCCATTCAACCCCAGTCTTGCATGTGCCACTTCTATCTTACAATGTATTACAACTAGGATTACCTGATTTTATGAACTAGCATATCTTATAGATATCTGCTCCTAAGGACAGCTTTGGTGTTCCATTGTCATATATTCAATCTCTACCATGTATTCATGTGGGAGCATCTTGACTCTTGATAAGATTTTCTAATAATCTATGGGTTGCACTAACTACCAGATTATATTTCTTTATATCTTTTCAAAGTGCTACAATATTTTCCAAACAGAAGGACTACTATGATCTACTATACAGTTTCCAGATGACCTTGGTCCTTGAGACTCTATGGCAACTAACTTGGAAAGGTGTGTTAGTATTGCACTGGGATGAACTGATGTGGGAATTGTTTTTGATTCTTCTTCAGAGGTATTATTACAAAGAATGTATTTGAAAGATCAGCATTCACTGGCATATAACAGAGGCTTTTAAAATCTGGTCTAGTACAATAAAGCAGCTATAATTAGGGATACTAAATGGCTAAATCCACTCAATTACCATAATATGTCACCTTTTTGTAGGAACCAAAATTGCATCAAATGGGAATATTATGGAGACTGTATCCTGCATTCTTTAAACCTTTAAGGATTTTACTGATTTATTCCAGTATTCCTAAAATATGATATTGTCATGTTTACTTTCCTGGCCAGAATAAGTAAAGGTTGCTACAAGATATCCAGCTAAACTTAAGCTTTCTCTACTAAAATAGCTCATTCTCCACTGGTTGGGACACCATTGGTATGGTTTCAAGAGTCAGTATGTATACTGTTTTAATTATAAATTGAGAAATGAGAAAATGACTACCTGTAAAGGTCTGTGGACCCATTGTGAAGTGGATCTGACCCTGAAGACTACTTATTATCTGGCTTCCATATGCTCCTACTCTAAAAGTAATCGTACCGAGTATTTAAGAAAGCATAAATAGAAGCACTCTGCACATGACATAATTACAATGTAAAGATATATTCTATCATTAACATACTATAGCAATATTGGACAAAGAATGAAACTAAAGTTGCAGAGTGAGAGAGAGAGGGAGAGAGATATTCTCCATCTTTTCATCACTTCTCAGATGGCTGCAATAGCCAGACCTGGGTTGGGTGGCAGGGGCACAAGTACTCGAGCCATTTTCAGCTGCCTTTCCCACTCCATCAGAAGGTATCTGGATCAGAAGTGAAGCAGCCAGCACATGAACTGGTGCCAATATGGAATGCTAGCATTGCAGGCAATGGTTTTATCCACTGTGCTACAACACTGCCCCATTCTCAATTCTTGAGTGAACTGTAATGGTTGTGTATTTGAGTGGCTAAAATTGTTTGCATGATACTTCCATGATTTCCTTGTTCTAAATATGCTTTCTATGTGTTATGTACCCCTTTTAAAGGCTAATTTAATTTGGTTCTTGGTGAATAAATAATACATTACATCAACTGAATTAAGAATTATAATTATATAATCATATCAATTGAAGCAGAAAAAGTATTTAATAAAGTTCAATATACATTTAGAATAAAAATATTGAATAAGTTAGGCATAAAATTAACATTACTCAACATAATATAGGTTATATAAAACAAACCTGTGTCCAAGATTGAATGGAATAGGGAAAAGCTGAAAGCATTATTTGTGAAATTTGAAACCAGACAAGGTTGTCCACTCTCACTGCTCTTAAAAATTCAATATAGAGCTGGAAGTTTATCTAGAGCAGTTAGGCAACAGAAAGAAATAAAAGACATACAAATTGGAAAGGAGAAAATCAAATTATCTCCATTGATTATTTGATTTCATCTGTAGAAAAACTCAAAGATCCACTACCTTTAAAAGACTATAAGAACGGATAGATAAATTCATCAAAATCTCAGGATAAATGATCAACAATCAATAGTTAGTATGATTATTATACACTAATGAAATCACTAAGGAAGAAATTATAAGATTCATGTCATTTACAATAGGTAAAAACAAAAGATAAAATCTAGATATAAATATCATTAAGTATGTGAAAAACTTTGATAATGAAAATGACAAAACACTAATGAAAGAAATTGAAGAAGATGTGCAGAAATAGAAAACCTCCCAGGTTTGTAAATTGGAAGACTTAATATCATTAAAATATTCATACTAGTGAAAGTGATTTATAAATAAAATGCAATTACCCTAAAAATACCAACAATATTCTTCAGAAAACTAAAAAAAATCAAAATTCATATAGCTTAATAGTCTCCAAATAAACAAAGCAATCTTGAATAACAAGAATCAAACTTGTGACATCATAATATCTTATTCTGAAACATAAATTGGAGCCTTAGTTACAAAAACAACAGGCTACTGTCATGAAAATAGTCACATAGACTAATGGGACATAACAGAGATCCCAGAAATGAAACCACAGGAGAATCAACAGATTCTTGACAAAGACATAAAAACCATACATAGGGCTGGTGCTGTGGCGCAGCAAGTTAATGTTCTGGCCTGAAGCGCCGGCATCCAATATGGGTGCCAGTTCAAGACCTGGCTGCTCCACTTCCGATCCAGCTCTCTGCTGTGGCCTGAGAAAGCAGTAGAAGATGGCCCAAGTCCTTGGGCCCCTGCACCCACGTGGGAGACCTGGAAGAAGCTCCTGGTTTCTGGCTTTGGATCATCACAGCTCCAGCCATTGCAGCTAATTAGGGAGTGAACCAGCTGATGGAAGACCTCTCTCTCTCTCTCTCTTTCTCTCTCTCTGCCTCTCCTCTCTCTGTATAACTCTGACTTTTGATCTCAGTCCTTAATGTGCTGTACATTGTGATTTAATGCTATAACTAGTACTCAAACAGTATTTTTCACTTTGTGTTTCTATGTGGGTGCAAACTGTTGAAACCTTTACTTAATATATGTTAAACTGATCTTCTGTATATAAAGATAATTGAAAATGAATCTTGATGTGAATGGAAGGGGAGTGGGAGCGGGAAAGGGGAGGGTTGTGGGTGGTAGGGAAGTTATCGGGGGGAAAGCCATTGTAATCCATAAGCTGTACTTTGGAAATTTATATTCATTAAATAAAACTTAAAAAAAAAACATACACTAGAGAAGTGGTCTGTTCTAGAAATGATGTTGGGAACACTGGGTATTCATATGCAAAAGATTAAATTTTGAGCCTCCACCCACGTTAGATCCTATACAAAGTCAACTGTAAATAGATGAGAGATGTAAATCTAAGATCTGAACCTAGGAAAATACTGGAAGAAAACCCAGGAAACACTTGAAAACATTGTGACAAAAAGTGGTATTTTGATGAGCTTTTTGGTGTCATTTTTGTGACACAAGCAACAAAAACAAAATAGATATTGGGATTATATCAAACCAAGAATATTCTGCATGGCAAATGAAAGAATCAACAGAGTCAATAGACAATCGACATAAAAAATAAAACCAATTTGCAAGCTAGTTACCTGACATAGGTTTAATAACCCCAAAAATAAGGACTTCAAAACTACAACAACAGAAAAAAAATAACCAGTTAATAACTAGGCAAATGAACTGAAGATATCTCTCAAAAGAAGAAATACAAATAGCCAACAAATATATTAAAAATTATCAACATTATCAGCTATTAGAGAAAGGTAAATCAATTAACAATGAGATAACATGAAATAGTAACTAATATCAGAAAGACAAAAATAATAAATGCTGATGAGGTTGTGGAAAAAAGGGAACCCTTATACACTGTTGGTGGTAATAAATATTAGTAAGTCATTTTGATGCCCTGTATGGAGGTTTCTTGAAAACTAAAAATAGATCCACCATGTGGTCCAGCTATCCCATTTCTGTATATATCTGAAACAAATGAGACCTGGATACAAAAGAGACACCACTCCCGTGTTCTTTTGCAAATTATTCATAATAAACAAGACAGAAATCAACCTAGGTGTTCATTAGTGAATGAATGGATAAAGCAAATGTGGTGTACATGCACTGCAAGTATTATGCAGCACCCCCAAAATGATATCCTCATTTTCAGCAAAATGAATGGAACTAGTGGTCATTATGTTAAGCCAGCCACAGAAAGGAAAATATTGCAGACTCTCTGTCATATATGAAGGTTAAAGAAAATTCTCTATGTAGCATAGTGATTACAAGAGTTTGAATAGAGGGAGGAAAAATGGATTGCAGGAATATTGGGTAACAGTTGACCAAAACATAGTCAGATAGAAGTAATAGGTTCTAATGTTCAATAGCACAGTGGACAACAAATTAACTATAGTTCACAATAATGTGTTATATACTATATGAAGAACTGGAAGAAAGGATCTGATAGGCTCCCAATACAAGGAAAAGATAAGGAAATGGAAAGGCCATGGCATGTATGTATTGTGTATCACACTGTACCACATAAAGTGTATAAATATTACATGTTAACCAAAATTTTACAAATGAAAGTTATAAGAAATAACAAACTCTCCAGCATACACAACAGAAGAGAGAGTTCATGAGGTGGCAGACCTTAGCAATTATCCAGAAAACAGCAAGGAAAGAAAATGCATAAATTAGATGTTAGAAGAGACACTGAGAATAGTGTAAGAAGCATATTATTTGTTTAATCAGAGTTAGAATAGGAGCAATTAATGCAAGGCAGGAGTGAGTAACATTCAAAGAGATGGTGTCTGAGAACTTTCTAGAATTGATGAATGATACTAATACTCAGATGAGCAGAGGAGTACATTTTAAGAAATATAAAAAGTAATTTTCCCTTAGACCAGAGTAAAATTTGAGACAATGGATACAAAGATATGACGATATGACTGGGGCTTCAATTGGACAAACAGTAGGCTTCTCCAGTTCCAAAACAAAACTGGTAGTTGTGATGCTGTAGGGTAAAAACTCTCAAATAAGTGCTATGTATCTGCTTCTATAATTTTCAAGAATAATAGTCAAAGAATTTATAGAGAGTTTAATTGAATTATCAATACAACAATGTCTAAATAAACAAATAAATGATCACAGACATACAAGGAAATAATATGTTAAAAGACAATTAATAGGAGAAGAAATTTGCAATATATATGTCCAACAAAAGAATTTTATCCTACAAATCATCACATGAATTATTTTGTTGGAAATATGTATTACAAAGGACTTAAGCAGACATTTCATAAATGAGGATATTCAAATGGATAATGAACATATGAAAATGTATTCAAATAACAGTAGTCTTTAGGAAAATGCAAATTAAAATCATAATGAGATATATTATAAAAATGACCAGATGGTTAAAATAAAAAAAATATAACAAAGGCAAGTTTTGAAGAATGTATTGAGCAATTAGAAGTCTCACATGTTGCTGGTGGGAGTTTAAATTGACCTATCCACTTTGGAAAATTGTTTAGTAGTATGTACTAAAAGTAAACACATACCTAATCTATGACCCAGAATTTACTCTTGGTGAAATTCAACAAAACTGAGTGTATGTGCCCATCAATAAGACATATACAAAAATGTGTCCACCTTATTCTAAGTAGCTGCAAGCTAGAAACAATCCATGCTCATAAGTAGTAAAACATACAAGTGAGTTACAGTATAGATTTACAGTGGAAAATGAAGTAGCAATGTAAGAAGTTAAGCTACAGAAATATATAATTCAAAATCATAGCGTTGAATGATGGGTTTTAGACACAAAAATAGTATATACTGTAGGATTCTACTTATCTGAATTTTAAGGACAGGGGCCACATCTTTATGATAATAGAAGAAGAAGATAAATCTTTGACTTTTGATTTAGTAATGACAGTGAGGGTGCACACAACAGCTATCTGTGGTACTAGTAGAAAACCATAGGTTAATCTGTTGTCTGGTTATATGGAAACAGGTATTGATTTAAATTCATCAGATTTAAAATTTAGAATTATGCACTTTGCTGCATGTATTTATGTGATATAGGAAAAGATTAGTAATCATAAATTGAGGAATAGTACTTATCCCTAGAGTAAAAGCTAAGAGATTGGGGATGGGAGCCTAAGAAACCTAGGGTATTTATTGGGAGTGTTGTTTCTTATTTAGCATATACATATGTTTTGTGTGTCATATTTCATAATAAATAGAAGATAAATGACACAAAGAAAATGTTGCTATTTGGTTAACAGAAGAGGCAGAATTTCAATAAACCTTCCACAAAATCCATGTTATAACTTCCTGCACTAACTTTATTTTATCATATGTCATATTGTTTGGCACATATTCTTGCTTGGCTACCATGCTGGGATGCATTTTCCCATAGGGATGATCTCATAAACATTTTCTTATACTTATCCCACATGCTAATAGAAGATAAGAAGCACATTTTCTTCCTAATGTTCCTTAAAATGTCCCCAAATCCTCTTGTTGAAATAAATGCTTTCGACATTGTGTGTCAAATTCTTATCTGCTGCAGTCTTCAAAAGTAAAAGCTGAATACTTTAGTCTACGTTATCAAAGTACTTAAAGTAGTTAATGCATATGATATTTATAACCTTTTAGACATAACTGACATTTTATTCATTCATTCAATTTTGCTTTTGTGCATTCTGTGGAAAGCTCCAGGGTTGGTTGAAAATATCTAATATACAGAAAGATACATGAGGAGTTCTGATTTCTGTTAGAGTTTCAAAGTGAAATAGTAGCAAAAATATTTATAAATGCTCACATCCCTGATTAGATTTACAGTATACTATTGGAGGAGTTGTGGTACAATAATTTAATTCTCTCATTACATGGAAATAATTGAATTCATCTGGATTCCTGACTTTGAAACTAAAGCTACTAAAATATAAAATTTATCCAAATATTTATCAATTAGGTTCTGGAAGTCTAAAATATAAATTGACTCTTTCAGAGTTTGTTTCAAATAGGTTGCTCTTATGAAAGTGGAACTTAAACCATATATTTTATTTCATATATCATATTACTTTTGATCTTATACTTGGATAAATTATTTATTAATGGTACAGTAGTCAAAATAATATTATACCCCATTCTCAAAACAAAGATATAGAGAAGTGAAATTTTGGACAAAGGTTTATAAAATCCTGGAACAAGCTGACAGGTTCAATCAGTCCCCAGTTCTGATACCCCAAGTCATGAAAATTAGAGTTGAATGTAGATTTTAAATTAACCCATAAATCAGGGGCTGCTAATGTGAGCAATAAACAAAAATGCTAAAAATGTGTTCCTAAGATCTCATTAGACACTAGCAATTTAACGTTAACAAATAGAATTTCTGGGAAATCTGGGGAATTCCCCAAATCATAGATATGTCCTATTTAAAAAAGTATTTCTTTGTTTACTTCCATCTTTATTGAGGTGTAATTTGCAAATAAAATTGTATATATGTAAGATGTATGAGATTATTGGATCTAGACATAGATTATAAAGTAATTTTCACAATCAAGACAATTAACAAATCCACCCCTACATTTTGTGGGTGTGGTTGGGGGCTGAAAACACCTAGATCTATTCACTTATTAAATTTCAAGCATACAATGTACTATTAACTACAATTATTGCGCTACACATTAGATCTGCAGCATTATTCATTTTATAGTGTAAATTTCATAACTTTTGACCAAAATACCCCAATTTCTCCCACCCTCCAGGAAACAACCACCTTTCTACTTTTCTGTCTCTATGACTTCAATTACTTTAGGTACCATATCATAAGATCAGGCAATGCTTATTTTTATTTTTCTGTTATATTTCACTTAGCATAATGCCCTCTGGATTCAACTATGTTGTTGCCAATGATAGAATTTCCTTAATTTTTAGAGTTGGATAGGATTCCTTTGTGTGTTTGTTGGTGCCACATTTTATTTATTCATTAATTGATTCCATATCTTATGTTGATTCCATATCTTATGTTGATTCCATATCTTAGCTGTTTTGAATAATGATGCAATGGAGGAAGGAGTCCAGATATCTCTTCAATAGCTTCATTTACTTTCTTCAAATAAACACCCAGATGTGGGATTGCTTAATAGAATGATAGTTTATTTTATCTCTATGTCATTTTATTTATTTGAAAGGGGAAGAAGGAGAGTGAGAGAAAGATGTCCCTCTTGCTGTAAACTCTCCCAGGTTCTCCCACAGCTAAGGTTGGGTCAGAAATGGAATCCAGGTTTCCTAAGTGGGTAGCAGAGACTCAAATACTAGAGTAAATGTGTGCTGCTTCCCGAGGTGTGCATTCGCAGGAAGCTGGAATTGG